GCATATTAGCAAGATGTTCTTGAACTATCAGTATTTTATCTATTAAATTAAACTCAGATAGACAAACTAATGTTTAATTTATAATATCATATAAATTTAATGGGAGTGAATATGTAAATATAAAATTAAAAAGTTTTAAAATAATATAAATTAAAGTTTAAAAAATATATTTTTTTTTTTAAATGAGAAAGACAATTAAATTTAAAGTTAAAATAATAATAGAATGACCAAAAAAAGGCAATTCAACGAATTTACGTAGAAACCTCTAATAAACGACCCGACCGATTCTTGGAACCCGCCAAAAGCGGCTCATTTACAAAAAGCTGAAATTTTCAAGTGGCATTTCCGTAGTATTCTAAGAATGAAGGGGGCATTTAAGTCATTATATGGACGAATCCAGACCACACGCGTAATGAATAAGGGCGTTCCATTGACACTAAAATGCGCTGAATGGGCGCAGGATAATAAAATGCGCACATACTTGCAGCGTGAGTAGAGAGGAATGGAGAGAAGGGGGCGAAGAGAAAGAGAAAGAGAAAGAGAGAAAGATGGGTCTCTCCGAGTTGGCTCAGTGAGTCGGTGACCGCATTTGACAAAGAGAGGGAACCCCGAAAAAAAAATCACAGCGTGGGATTTTGGGGAGAGGGTTTGAGAGGGGGTGGAGTGGAATTAGCCAAAAAAATGGTGAACGAGAGGGAGATTATTAGTCCTCTCCTTTACCATCACCACCACCACTCCCTCTTCTTTCTCTCTCATTCCCATTATTTTCCCCAATTCCTCTTCTCTTCTCTTCTAACCCTAAATTTCCTTTTTCTTCTCCTCTTCTCCTTCCTCTTCTTCAATCCATCGTTCTCTTGTTTAATTTTTCCCTTTCTTTTGTTCTTCTTTGCGTTTTTCCATCTGGGTCTCTCTCTTTTCCCTGGTGGGTTCGTGGGTCGGGCGATTTCTTGGTGGTGGACGGTGGTGTTGCTCGTTCTTCGCCAGGTAATGGGTGATCTCCTTTAAATGTTCATTGGGTTTTTGTTTTTCTTTTCGTTTTTGGGTTTTAGCATCTGGGTTTGTTGATTTTTGCCCTGTTTTTAGGTTTGGCTTGGTGGGTTGTTGTTGGTTTTGTTTCTTCGTGTGTAACGATGCATGTTTGTGGATTTTTTTAATGAGAAATTTGTATGGAGGTTGTGTTTTTGGCTTTTGATTTGGAGGTGTTATGAATACATTAATCGAGATCCTTTTGATTTGTTCTTGTTGAGGCTGCAATTGATTGCGGATTACATTCTGTTTGGATTGGTTTTGTGTTTTCCTTTTATCTATTTGTTTTTCTGATTGTTCTTTAGGAATGGTTGTGGATTGTTCATGTTTGAAGTTAGTCAATTGGAAGTTCTTGTGCTGGTTATTGTTACTGAATGGTTCACTGTTTTGGTTCTTTTCAGGTTTGCTGAAATAGTCTGCTATTATTATTGTGATTCGGTTTTTGTAGGCTTAGTGTTGTGTGGTCTTACTGCCAATTAGTCATGGAAGAGTTTCGGACATCGGGGATTTATGGAAGCTCTACTATGAGGAGGAAAAGGAGTCGAACTTCCCGTCGCCCTCGACTCGAGTCACAGCAACTAGCTGAAGGTTTAGATCCTTCACCGTCATCTTCAACGCCACCTTCTGATGATGCAGTCAAGTTCTCCAGTGATGAGAATGGTGGTGGTGATGGTAGTTCTAGGAGAAAAGAATTAAGTCTCAATCAATGTGTATCCAGAGGCTCATCTGTTAATGGGGCTGAAAACGAACATTTTCTCAAAAGAAGCATAAAAGATGGAAGTTATAATTCATATTACCGTAGTGAACCGGGACAAAGTGCTAACGATAACAAACGCAGCAGCGAAGGTGTCCTTGCTCCTGCTAATTGGAGAAGCACGAGCAAGGCATCAGATGGTATTGAATCGGAGTCGAGTAGCATCGACCCATATGGTGGAAGGTATGGTGGTGAAAGTTCGAGTTCTGGACAGAAAGGACTTTATGCTGAAGGATTAGGAAATGATAGCAAGGTTAAGAAGGTTAAACTTAGGGTTGGTGGGGTCACCCGTACTATTCGAGCCAATTCCCCTCCCAATGGCACGTCGAAAGGCAGTTCTTCGAAGGGTTCTCAACCTTCGGATGGTCATAGGCAGCAGCACAAGCTTAACTTTCAGGTACATTCGAACGTTAGTCATATGGAAGTTTATGTTAGTGCTATCGTGCACGTTATAACCAAATAAGTTAGTAACACTCGTAACTGATATTTTTTTTTCCTCCAATGTGTTTCAAAAAGCAGGAAAACTTTACGGGAAATCATTCGCCTTCAGAAAGACGGGGCGGACTGCATGGAGTTCCATGGAGAGACTTCTCACGAGGTGGCTTTGGCCTAGAAAAGGAGGAGTCATTGACAGGGAAGATGGCTGGGAGGAATTCTGCTGGGAAGCATGGAGCAGAGTCGGTTCGAAAGAGTAAAAGAGCCTCAAAGAAGCGTGTTCTTAATGGGGATTTCGATGACGACGAAGATGATGAGATACGGTATTTGGAGAAGCTTAAAACTTCGAAGGCTTATGCAGGATACCGTGATGATGGTGATGAACCGATCAAGAAGCAGCGAAAGCTCTCCAGCATTTCTAGCGTAGAGAATTATGGTGTATCGAAGCACGACAAAGAGGGGAAGAAGGCTAGATCTGATATGGCGTCGGAAGACAAGGATTATGAGGAAGAAGAATCAGCTTCTGATGGTGATGTTGAAGCCAATCATAAGAAGCAGAGGAAGGAATCAATCGATACATTGATGGACGGTAAGAGAGAAATGACTCTTACGACACGTCAAAGAGCTCTTCAGTCTAGCAAAGATGCAACGTCCGCTCGAGGTGCTAGTTTAATCGAATTCCCAAATGGTTTACCGCCTGCTCCACCCCGAAGTAAGCAACTTTATCCAAATTGACACTGCATTAATCACAAAAATTTATTGTTACTATTTCTAATTGTTTACATTTTGTTTGTTCTTAGAGCAAAAAGAGAAACTCACCGATGTGGAACAACAACTTAAGAAGGCGGAAGCTGCACAAAGACGACGAATGCAAGTTGAGAAGGCTGCTCGGGAATCCGAGGTTTGTTCTCTTCACGATATTGTTTGCACTATGATTCATTCATATTCTTATACACTATTCCTGATTGGAACTAAGCCTGTTTTAAATAAATCCTGTAGGCTGAGGCGATCAGAAAGATACTCGGTCAAGATTCAAGCCGAAAGAAGCGAGAAGATAAAATGAAGAAGCGCCAGGAAGAATTAGCTCAGGTATCGTAATCTTATAACTTCTAATTCTGTGTTAGTGCTATGAATAGTACAAGACCATAAGTTCGATTTTTGTTCCCTCAACTCTTCACAGGAGAAGGCTGCAAATGCCGAGAAGCTTTTGTCAAACACCATCAGATGGGTGATGGGTCCTTCTGGTACCGTGGTGACCTTCCCGAATGATATGGGACTTCCAAGCATATTTGAGTCTCGACCGTGCAGGTATTTATCTTCTTCACTGCCTCTCGACTTGCCCCATACACAGTAAACTGTTAATGGTGTGAAAATCTTTGTACAATGTATGCTTTCAGATATCCACCACAGCGGGAAAACTGTGCGGGTCCATCGTGTTTAAATCCGTACAAGTATCGAGATTCGAAGTCGAAGCTTCCTCTTTGCAGTCTCGTGTGTTACAAAGCAATTCAAGAGCAGTTGACAGAAACTACTACGTGCTAGAAGATTTTGATACCATGAATCTCTAGCCTTTTGTTTCTGTTTGCATTTCGTTACGTTGATTCTCTGCACATTTAAACGAAGCTAGAGTAGATAGATGTATATCTGCAGAGACGTTGATGGAAGAAATGTTTTTGGATCTGTTCCAGGTCCGCCGCCCATTCGTTATAATGCTACCCCATTTATATGTGCATACACAACATTTTCTCAATCTTTCCTTGGAATATCTTCCTCAGGCAATTGCTTGCTTATGTTGTTTAATCAAGTCGGCTAATGTACCTCCAGAAGCTACTTGAGCCACATACTCCAGATTATCGTTATCTCCAATAGGATGATTTATTAATAGGTTTGGCCAAGAACACCGCCAAAAGTGCCTCCCTCCACCTAATAGTTTGAATTTGAATTTCCCATTGGAGGGAAGACCCCTTTTTCACTTTACTTAGCCATATTTTCCAATAGGGGTATTTTAGTGATAGATTCTATCCGAACTGAACGATCCTATTCAGTTAAATACCTATAGTGATAAACTCCTTTCACAAATTTCGATAGTGACGATATGGATGATAGTGGCGATATTGATGATAGTGACAACATCGACCATGACCTTGATATAGAGCTGGAGTTTCTAAGTATGATGAATACACCGCAAACTATGGAGATTTTATATCACCTATGGATTTCAAATATTCATGATCTAGATCTGAGTGAGTCGATTTCGCTAAAAATATTCTTGTTATAGCGTTTCATCCGGACATTGCAACCACTTCTTGCATTACTATTATAATCATTGCTTGCCTGGACCACCAAATAATCAATAAAACTAGGAAAGTTTGTTTTGATGTAAATGGCAATAACGAAAGTGATGAATAGGGTTATCATACCTCTGACTATGATCTTTGGCAGAGAGAGGAATCAGATCGCTAGCTGAAGGACAGCAGACCAGTGGAGAGAAATTGAGATCCCTGGAGATTAAAGCAGGCGGCAGAGAGAAGAATGGCATGTTATTAATAATAATGTTGCAGAACAATAACAGCCCATACCAAACAACCACCATTACTCCCTTATATATAACAAAAGAGGGTGAGAACAGAAAATATTGTTTGTGTTGAATTTAACTAAGAAAGCTAAATGATCAAAGCAACTTCCAATTGCTATTCTGTTCCTTTTAGAACTTTATTTAACACAATGGAATCATCTCTATCTCCCAAAAAAAAAAGGCCAAGCAAGCATATGCACATTTGGAACACATGAAACAAGTGGCTGCAAATAAACAATCCCTTAAAATTTAAACATTGTACAACACTTTTACAAATCGTGATAACATCCACATCTACGCTATAGATACAACATGAAAACCTCCATGATTTTTTAGCTTTTTACTCGGTCTATATTCTAAATGATTGTCGGTCAGCCCTCGTCCTAAACCAATTTAAACTACCTCTCAGTCAGTAACTCAATAATGCAAATATCACATCAAGCATCTATAAACCGAATGTCAAAGGTGTGTGGATGTATTTGCCACACATTCAAGGCAGCATACTCCTCCAAACATTCTTTTAGTTGAGCTTCGCTGTATCCCTGAAAAAGAAAAAGGCAAACATTTCAATTTCGAATAATTAAGATGCAGTTTTGACGAAAGTTCTTGTGAATGGATCTTTGGATCAAAATCCACAAACTGTGGACTTCAGCAAACTTTATAGAGTGTTTTTATGAACCTTCTCATTTAAATATAACAGACTAGATGTATCTCCTTTTATATGTTTATTCTATCAAATGGGTCTAACTGGGTCGAGAATGATATAGGATTGCCAACGGTAAACTATAAGAATAAGAATTACAACTGACCTTCCTAGAAATCCAGTTAAGGGCGTGTGCATAGCTCACATCCATTTTATTAGTTCTGGCAGCTTCATCGCGCAAGATTGAATAGATATCTGAGATAGCATCTAGACCAGACTTTTGACGGTCATCTGAGTATAGAGAAAATTTTGACATTTGCATTAACCTTAGAGCCTCATCAACATCACTTTGGGCCACAGTCTCGGAGAATCTAAGCCTTGCTAGAGCCTGTGAAGGATGAGTTCATTTCAAAGTTTCATGAGTTCATCAATAATAAATACATATATGGATGCCTACTATGACCAAAGTGTTCAGCACTCTTGAGGCTACCAACCAAGCTGGGCATAAGGGTTCAGCTTTGACAAAAGCATCTCAATAAAATTGAATATTAGAACAGCGGGGAATGAACATCTTTGCCTCTGCTTGATATTGTAGTCTATGGGGGAATAATAAAATATGGAAGAGTATATAGGGTATTCATATGAATAAATGCCAAATAAAACTTACAGCTGATATCCGAAGAATGCTTAGTAGAGTTCTCACTGTGGTATATGAATGGGGAGTGTTGGATTTAGCTTCTTCCTGACGGATGCTGGAATAGGCACTGGCAATGTACTCCTCCAGATCCTTGGGAACGTAAGGAGACAATCTTCTTGCGGCGGAAATATAAGCTCTGACCCAACCACCAAAACAACAAAGTAGAAATTTAAAAGGTGAGAATTGAAGATAATGAGGTCCTAATGCTTGCATTTAATACACAGGCATACTATAATCTAAGATTTGATAATTGAAAAAAAAACGTATATGGAATCAATAGATCTCTGTTAGGAAAATCTCTTTCAATGGTGGAAATTTTGATGATAATGGCAGTCCTCCATAATAAACAGAACTCTGAGGTAATTCTCGAAATAAAAAATATATAACTTATTGATTGATTATACAGAAATGGATGATAAAGCAAAAGATGGTACATTGCTAATTATATTTTAATGTAGTTTCAAGCATACAAAAGAGCACGTATGAGGATTCTGATTGTTTATTTTGTAAATAAACTAAAGAAAACCCTCCTATCAATCTGAAATCGCCAAACTTCCTATTTCATTATGCATAAAAAAAAGGCAATGGTGATGTTTACCGAAGAACAGATGATTCAAGTGGGGTGAAGCCAAGAGCAGGAGATTCTCTATTCTGATGGACATAAACAACATGTCTAGCCATTTCAAGATCATTATCCATGTCAGCTCGATCTAGGATCAACCAAAGAAGATCAAATCTTGATAATAGAGCTGGAGGAAGGTTAATGTTTTCAGCAGGAGTTCTACGGAGGTCATATCTTCCCCTGTAAAGATACGTGTAAGCATACTTAGTAATCCCCTAAAACTTGAAGAAAAGTTGAAATGGAAACCCAGTAGAATGAGAGAATCAGAAAATGGCCGAAAAAGATAGGCAAGTACCATGCTGGATTGGCCGCAGCAAGGACAGCAGTCCTGGCATTTAGAGACGTGGTGATTCCAGCCTTGGCAATGCTCACGGTCTGTTGCTCCATGACTTCATGTATTGCTGTACGATCAGATTCTTCCATCTTGTCAAATTCATCAATTGCACATATTCCCATGTCAGCTAACACCTGAATTAAAAGTCAATTTCACACTCACTGAAACTTTGATATATCACAAGCTATATGATGAAACCAGGGAAAGAAAGAACAAAATTTGTATTGAGACGTGAAGTATGTGCCTCACCAATGCCCCTCCTTCAAGGACCATCTCATTTGTGACAGGATCCTTCTGAACAGCAGCAGTTAGACCAACACCACTGCTACCTTTGCCAGTCGTGTAGACTCCCCTGGGAGCAACATTGATGATGTGTTTAAGAAGTTGACTCTTTGCAACACCAGGATCACCCATTAAACATATATGCAAGTCTCCTCTAATCTGAAATGACCAATGAGTTTGAAATTGCAAATTTTAATTCCATCATTAAAGAGTTGAGGTAATTTATTATTTACAAAACTTAATCGCTACGGAAAAAGGAGGTAGGAAATAAAGTTTCATGGAAATTTGTAAGGAACACGTATATTGCAGCATCAGAAATTAACAGGAACGTCGTATGCATCCTACATACTTGAACAATTTTATGTTCTTACCTTCATCCCATCTTTCAACTTTCTATGAGGAGCACCAACGAGAAGAAGCAGTAAAGCTTTTTTAATATCTTCATGACCAAAAATTTCAGGTGCCAACGATCGTGCCAGTTTGTTGTAAATATCACCATCCTCAGCCAAACGTGCAATTAGTTCCTCCTCATCTCCTCTAAGTTCGTATCTGCAATATGAAACAACTAAACAAGTAAGCTTTATCCTCGACTAAGTTAACACAATAGGGCACTTTAAGAGAGTGTTCATAAAGAAACAAAGCTGAGAACAAAGTGAAAATGTCGCAAAAGCCAGATTGTAGATGAAATTTATTTCAGTAAAAGGGTGAGGGTTGAAAGCTGCCATACTCTTCATATTTTTTCTTGAAATGGGTGATTGACATGGCCTCTAAGAATGTATCAGCAACCAAACCAGCACGCATTGCCCTGAAACCCGTATAAGGAATGGGCAGAAAAATTCCTGATAGTTCAACAACATCACCTGGAGCTACCTGATAACGGTCAGAAAAATGACTTGTGAACAAATAACTATCATGTAACCATTACACATAAAGCGAAAGAATTGCATCTACATATGTTAACAAATGGGTGTCATATTAAACTTCGACATTTTCTGGTTAAGAAACAGAAATTAAATTCCTGCACTCGAAGAAGCTGAAAGCAAACTTGAATGTTCTAAAATTATTATTGAAAGTCATTGGAATTGTTCCTAGAAGTTTCAAGATGACATAGCCATGGGAAAAAAGGAATATATTGGCATGATGGCCAAATCCAGTAAGCATTTCAAGGTCACAAGCATTACTTGCCAGTTAGATATAGATTAATCAGCCACACTAAACAAAAATCCCAGTCACTCTCGGAATAACCGGTGAAGATCCATTAGAAGAAAACTAACCTTCCTTGTTAGTTCACCCCTGAGATGAACAGTCATTGTCCGGGGAATATGACCTTTCGGAACATGTTCAGCTAACTCTTGAAGTTTGGCCTACAACCCAAATGTAATGGCATGCATTAGTACCAATATCAATCATATTATGAAATTGAAATAGAAATATTTTTCCAGCAATCATTTTGAAGAAGTTAATTAAAAACCTCCTGAAACTTCAGAAATTTGGATGCTCTGAGTTGAAGAATTAAGTTGCCTTTCGTTTGGTTTGTTCTACAACGCTGAGATGGACACTCAAATAGAGGCATGAAGACTCGAGCTGTTACCTCCTGTGAAGCAGAAAAGTGACTACATGAGTAGGGAAGAAATGACGTATCCAAGAGGGAGAAAAAAATAAGTTGACATTAGGATTGGGGGACGGACCGCACAATTTTAATGCACAGAATAAAATCATAATTTATCACTGAGAAAATATTCATTTCCCCAGTTCTATATCTTGTTGAAAAGAAATGGTAAGCATCAACATCTTTAAAATTTAGATGACCTGGTATATCTCAAAACCACAGTCTTCGCATGTATAAACTGCCACCTGCATCAACGGCTTAACATCTGAACAGCGTGTCACAATACCAGATATTCTCACAAGTTGACCAATATATGACGCTTTGACCTCTCTTATGGTAAACGGACGGCCCTTTGAAGGTGCTCTAATGTAAACTTCACTGCAAGAAGATTGATCGGGCATAAGGCAATTTGGAAATGACAGAATCCCATTGAAGCATAAAAGCAAACAGTAGGTAAATCAGTGAAAAATGGACGGTCGGATGAAAATCCAACGGAATAAACAATAGCATTGGCACAGATATTAAATTATCAGCTGGGGTATGTTATCTATACTATGAATCCAAATAGATACACAATGACATGCACCGCCACATAATTCTATTAGGATTAATGGTAACAAAATTATTTGTTCATGAACATGTTTGTAATTCAACACGTTAGTCTTTTAAGCCAGACAAGTAAGAACGACAATTGGGTAGCACTCATAAGACAAACCAAGTTAAGAACTGAAACATCACCCATATAGTGGTCCTAATCCAGAACCAACTGGACAGGTTTCCAATGAACTTCTTTTAAAAGATAATAGAAAACGCAGTACCAAATATCATAAAGCCCGATACAAAAGTAATAGCCGTTGTGTATTGAACTAAAAAGTGACTAGTCATGCTGGACTAATTTTCTATATACTCTCAACTATGAACTCTGAAGAAAGAGGAGTTGCAATGAACTCACAAGTATCGTTTGATTTCTGGCGGCATTTTTTGGCGTGGGTCAGGGTTATCGACAGTATCAGGTCCGTCATCAGACCTTTGTGTCATTAGTATGTCGTGATCATCATCTATAAACGCCTCTGTTGGCTCCGGCATGAGCTCATCAATAGCATCGGCAAAAATTCCAATATATCGCCGGGTGTTTTCTGTAATACGTTGGAGGAAATCCTCGTCCAAGTCCTTATACTGAAATCCAATAGTGCAACTTTGTTACTCGACTAAACAAAGGGATAATATCGAGAATGGGGCAAGAGTAAGGAAATCGTACATTAAAGAGATCCTCGAGATCGATTTGAATTGCACGGACTCTGCGATTTGCAACATCTTGCTAAAAAAAACAAATCAATCGAAATAAAAAACAAGAAACAACGTTTAAAGAAACAAAATAGATCGTCAGACCAAAAAAAAAAAACGAGTACATCACAGGAAGTAATCGCAATTTTAGGGTTTTCAAACTAGACCACCAAGCAAATTTACAGTTACAATAGAGAAACGCGAACGAAAATGCGGAAGCATTACCAGGATGTTTAAGTACTTCGCTTCACCATTTGCATCGGCGAAGTTCGCAAGGAACTCCTTTGCGAGAACTGAAAACGAACCACAGCTAGCTTTAAAATACGATTTCGAGACAAAGAAAAAGGCGATAAACCGTAGATATGAATTACCTCTTTCGGCGCTGAAGTCCAGAGGTCCAGTATCTTTCATGGCTGACCCTCAAAGAAGAAGATGGAGAAGCAGAGAGAGGGAAATGGAGATTCTGAGGATACGACTGAGCGCAAATGACTTGGCGGCAAAGGATAAATGAAGTGTTGTTTTGGCGGGAAAATTAGGGTCGTATAAAAATAATAAACAAATAAATAAATAGAAAAATAACAGGGAAAATTAACAAAAATGTGTGGCTGCTGGGATTCGAGCCCAGGTCTCCACGGCCACAACGTGGAATTCTCACCACTAAACTACAGCCACTTTGTTGATTAAAGCTCCTCCTATAATTTATTTATCCTCTTAATTTTGTTCAAATATTTACAATCGTACCCTAACGCTCACATTTTCCTCCCTTTATGATTTCAGATTAATTTTTTGAATTTATCAATTTCAAAATCAGTTAAATTTTGATTTAATCAAAGATAATGACGTGGTTCGGTGTTCATCCAATTACCGATGGCTATATACGATACCAGTGTCACGATTTTACTATATCTAAACTCGCAATACGATTGTGAGAGTAAGACAACTAAAATTTAGATTGTCATTATCATAAGCTCGTTCAACCAAAGTTACTTTTGATTTTGTTCCTAAAAATATATATTTTAGAAAATAATAATAAACAAAATTTTAGAAAAGTCTTTGGAAATTGGTAGGTAAGAATGTAATATTATAGCAAATAGCAATATCTGTCATTTGATTGTAATATCGATAGAAGAATTTAAGACTAACCACCACATTCATCATACATTTTGAGGCATTTTAATTTTGTAGATCTCCGTATTGATATAACATAATAATAAAGCTTTGTCTTAACATGAAAAGACGGGATTGTTGGATGTGAGTCACGGACTAATTTAGAGAATGATCATATATATATATATATATATTCCAAGTAAAGGAATATATCTCCATTGATATGAGGTCGTTTAAGTCATAAGAGCTTATACTAAGAGTGGACAATAACAAAATAAAGCCATAAGAGCTTATACTAAGAGTGAACAATATCATACTATTGTAGAGAGTCAGGATTTCTAATAGAAAATGCCCTCGCATTTTACAACTTATGAACAATCAAAATTAATAAAAAGTCCATGAGATTCATATTTTCACACTTTATTTTAACTAAAAATAACAGAAAAGATTAATAAGTGGAAACTACAATATTTTCCAGTAATTTTTATTTCACATAACGAACGCAAACCAGATCCATTCCTACCTTAAATAAAAATAAATAAATAAAAAGTTTAAAATAAATTCGGAATATAAAGAAATTACTCAGTCCTCGTACGTGCGACACTCCTCCGTCTCCGGATTATCCTTACAAAAATCCTCCAACGGATCCGAATCCTTGAGGCGGTCACGTGCGTGGCTAGCGGCCGCACTTAGCTCCTCCACCTCATCCCACGCCGCCGCGCACTCGCCGCTCGCCGGATCCTCCGAGCACGTCTCCTCCGCGTTCTTTATACTCTCCACTACCTTCTCCGATATCCGGTCCGGTGCGGCAGACACCGGTCCAACGGCGCACAACCGAACTGCACTCCACCTCTTCCATGGGTAGTTGAGCCGGGCGGATCGAAGGACCGGCGATTCGAGCTTCGGCGAGTCAGCCACCGCTTTTGAGACCGCCATAGTCGCGCCGGAGATCGCTGCCATTCTCTTTACTTTCTTATTCTTTGATCTGAAACGACGATGGATTGGATAACAACAAAATAAATGAGATTTTTCTTCTTCTTCTTCGGTATATATATAACTGGGATCCGCCATGCGTTCCTGAGCACATATTTCTTATCGGATGGTGGCCAATGGAAAATGGCCACGTGTTTGTCATGTCATATTATCTGGATTTTTTAGATTGTTTTAACTCAATTAGGATAATTTTAAATCATCATTTATAAATTTGGTTCAATTTAATTTTCCATATTAAAAAAAAAAGTTCGTTTTATTCTTTAATTTTAACAGACATTTAAATCCAAAAATTAAATCAAAACTAAAGTAGTATTTAAAAAATTAAATACAATGGAGTTAGTTAATATATTACTTTTTTTTATGATTAATGAGATAATTAATATCTTATATACTTAATTAAGTTTTGATTATTTTAGAAAATTGAACTTTTATGTTTAAAGTCAATTATTAATCTCTCAAATGTTACAGGTTAAAATTAGTAAGTAAACGTGCAAAGAGGACAATATCTGCTTGCAGTGGGCCTAGATCGTTAAATGGTATCAGAGCTAGACATTGGACAATGTGTCACCTTTCTCGCTGTTCCATGAAAGGGGTAGACACGAGGTGGTGTGCCAGTAAGGACGCTAGGGCCAAAGGGGGTGGATTTGGGGGGCGATCTCACATCGATTGGAGGAAGAAAAAAGTGTTAGTGAGGACGCTAGGTTCCAAAAGGGGTGGATTGTGATGTCTCACGTTGGTTGGGGAGGAGAACAAACCACCATTTATAAAGGGCGTGGAAACTTTAACTAGCAAACGCGTTTTAAAACTTTGAGGGGAAGCCCAAAAGGGAAAGCCCAAAGATAGCAATATCTGGTAGCGGTGGATCTAGGCTGTTACAAATGATATCAGAGCCAGTCACCGGACGATGTGTCAGCGTTCTCGCTGTTCTCGAAAGGGGGGTAGACACGAGGCGGTGTGCCAATAAGGACGCTGGGTCCCAAAGGGGTGGATTTGGGGGCGGTCCCACACGATTGGATAAAGGAACGAGTGCCGAGAACACCGGGTCTCGAAGGGGGGTTGATTGTGATGTCTCACATTGATTGAGGAGGAGAACAAATCACACTTTATAAGGGTGTGGAAACCAAAACCTTCCCCTACTAGACGCGATAGGACAATATCTGCTACGTTTGTTTCATTAATTATATTTTAATGTTTACGTTTGGTAAATTTATTAATTCAAATAATGTAAATAAATTATAAGATTTTAACTAATCTTTAATAGTCTACAATTTTTAACAATTTTTTTTTTTAATTATCATTATAACTTTATTATATAAAAAGAAAGTTAAAATAAAAAACAAAATATAAAGTAATGTATAGTTTTATTTTTTATAATTTATTTATTTATTTAAAAGGAATCATTTTGCTGCATAGAATCATTATTAAATACAAAGGTCTTCACTTTTCTGCGAATCTTTTTCTCTTCTTTTTACTTTTCTTCTGTTTTTTTAGATGAAAACAAATAATTATATAAATTTGTGTGAATATTTTTTATTTTTAGTTTTGAAAATTTAATAATTTAATAAACATAAATCTGAATAATTAAAACTCCATTATAACTTAAAAAATTAATATTCGAGTATATATAAATTAAAGAAAATTTTGATATTCTGTGGAGGGGTATGATTGAACACGGTCGAGAGTAGTGGAAGTGGTTTTGGGCAATTGCAACTGGTCCGCCAATCCAACCGCTTTCTTCGTCTCACCGTCGATGAAGATGAAGACGACGATGTTCTTGCACTGACTGGCGCGCCCTTTCTCTCTCCTCCTCCATTTCGCATCCTATCAGTCCAAGAACTCGCCGCATATTGCACGCTACACCACTCTCGACTCCGTTCCTCATGGCTTCATCTAGATTCAGCAGCTCTGTTCCTCTTAACGCGATCGTCTCCGAGAATGGCGGTGGCGGTGGCGGTGGCTCCAATGGCTCCGTTTCGTCCTCTTCAGCTTTAGTAGATACTGAAAACGACGGTACTGGAAGAGAGTTTCGTATCTGAGTATCGGTTTGTTATGATTATTTTTATTATTATTATTTTCGTTCTCTCGTGGCTGTCTATCTGCGATTGTTTATTTAAACTGGTGATTCAAATATGTTTAGTTGAATTAGTCAGAGAATTGGTGGGAATGAATTTATTAATCTTAGATCACGGACTTCGGCGAATCATATTAGATTATATTGCTCTTCTTCGATCGTGATTCGTACCTACTCGATGCGTTAAGATTTTCGTTTCGCGCCTTTTCTAATCTGGAAGCTACTTCCTCTTTCTCCGTTTAAGATATATATTACAAATGCTACTTGTATGAACAAATGCCTAGTTGAAATTCATTATGTTCCCACTGGTGAATTTTGAGCTTTGTAATTAAGTTTGTTCGTGGCTTGCCTAGTGAAATCAAATCCTTGCTCGAACTTTTATTTGATGATTGCAATGGTGTTTCTAACTCGCGATACTTTTATTCAGAGAATTCAGTTCTTGGGGTTGGGTATCGTCTTCCTCCCGCTGAAATCAGGGACATTGTTGATGCTCCACCGCTTCCCATATTGTCATTCTCGCCACACAGGGATAAATTATTGTTCCTCAAGCGGAGGTCATTGCGTCCAATATCAGAACTTGCAAAACCAGAAGAAAAGCTGGCTGGTATACGTATTGATGGACAGTGCAATTGCAGAAGTCGAATGTCGTTTTATACTGGAATAGGCATTCATCAGTTGATGCCTGATGATTCCTTAGGTCCAGAGAAGGAGGTTCATGGCTTACCAGATGGTGCTAAGATTAATTTCGTTACCTGGTCACCCGATGGCCGCCATTTATCTTTCAGCGTGCGAGTTGACGAGGAAGATGGCAGTAGCGGTAAACTTAGAGTTTGGGTTGCTGATGTCGAAACTGGGAAAGCTAGACCTTTGTTTCAGAATACAGACATCTATGTGAATGCAGTTTTTGAGAATTTTGTTTGGGTAAACGATTCTACTTTGTTAGTATGCACCATTCCTTCCTCTCGTGGAGATCCACCAAAGAAACCTTTAGTTCCCCATGGTCCAAAAGTTCAATCAAATGAGCAGAAGAACATTATTCAAGCTAGAACCTTTCAGGATTTGCTAAAGGACAAATATGATGAAGATTTATTCGACTACTACGCCACTATCCAGCTTGTTTTGGGTTCATTGGATGGAACAGTTATGGAGTTCGGCACACCAGCTATATATACGTCACTGGACCCTTCCCCTGATCCGAAATATATTTTGATTAGTACCATTCACCGGCCGTATTCTTTTACCGTTCCATGTAGTAGATTTCCTAAAAAGGTAGCTGTGTGGACAACTGATGGAAAATTTGTTAGGGAGCTTTGTCATTTGCCTCTTGCTGAGGATATCCCCATTGCATTCAACAGTGTAAGAAAGGGGATGCGTTCCATCAGTTGGAGAGCAGATAAGCCATCCACACTCTACTGGTGTGCATTTGAGTTCCTTGTTCTTTACCGCTATTTGCATATTTTTGGACATCCCTTTTCTCTATGTTTACTTATCATTTAAATTTTTTTGTATGTCATATGCCACCATTTAAGGAAGATAATTGGTTCATGCTTACTACTAGCTGTCAGCATTTGTTCTTGTTTATTGTGCTCATTTAATTTTTTTTTGTTTACTTTTTCTAAATTCGTAGGGTGGAAACTCAAGATGGTGGAGATGCCAGAATAGAGGTTTCTCCTCGTGATATTGGTTATACACAATCTGCCGAACCAGTCGAAGGTGAACAGCCAGAGATACTGCATAAACTTGATCTTCGTTATGGGTATCTTTTTCCTTCCTCTTATCCTGGTTATTATTTTAGATAGCCGCTTGTAAAGGTGAAAACAGCCTTTTACTATGATATTGCTTAACTTTAACAGAACGTTATTTTATTTGTATCTCAATCACGTATTCGGTTAAACATGTTCCCTGGAGATACAACACCCTGAAGATGTCTGCAAAAACTGATAGTATATTAAAGATGGAAACTGGTCCACCTTCGGAAATTCAAATCATACATGGTCTTGCCTATGCTTATCCAATTCTCTTATCACATAATTTTGTTGAAGTCCCTAAAATATTTCTTTCTCAATTTCTGCTTCAATTACTCTTACATCTTTTCGTACCAAAAATATCAATTTTTCTTATAAATTTGTGGTTCTTTTGGTGTTCTACATATCTATTTTCTTTATTTTGAGGTTGCCTGCTATCTTAAAATGTTGTATAGAGTAGTTTCAGTTTTGGGTTCTCTTTTATAAATCTTCTAAATCGAATGGACAACCTGGAAACTTTGTTTTTATACGTTCATCCTGTTTATTGCTGCAGAGGAATATATTGGTGTGATGATTCACTGGCTCTAGTTTATGAATCTTGGTACAAGACGCGCAGAATACAAACTTGGGTAATCTCTCCTGGATCTAAAGAGTACAATCCTCGCATTCTATTTGATAGGTCATCAGAAGATGTGTATTCAGACCCTGGGTCACCGATGCTGCGGAGGACTCCTCTTGGGACATACGTAATTGCAAAGTTAAAGAAGGAAAATTATGAAGGCACATATGTTCTACTAAATGGTAGTGGTGCTACTCCTGAAGGGAACATCCCTTTTATTGATTTATTTGACATGTAAGTGGTTTAGTTTAATCATTTCTTGTTAAGTCTCTCTCTTGTCAGTGCTATTAATGCCACAACGGTTCTGAAAATATTCCTTCAGAAACACAGGCAGCAAAGAAAGAATATGGAAGAGCGACAAAGAAACATATTATGAGTGCGTTGTGGCTTTAATGTCTGACAAGAAAGAAGGAGATTTAAATCTTGATGAGCTGAAATTTTTGATTTCTAAAGAATCCAAAACTGAAAATACCCAGTACTACATTCTGAGGTGGCCTGATAAGAAAGCAAGTCAAATTACAAAATTCCCCCATCCATATCCACAGCTGAAATCACTGCAGAAAGAGATGATCAGATACGAGAGAAAAGATGGAGTTCAATTGACAGCTACACTTTATCTGCCACCAAACTATGATCCAGCAAAAGATGGCCCTCTTCCCTGCTTGATCTGGTCTTACCCTGGGGAGTTCAAAAGCAAAGTTGCAGCTGGACAAGTTCGTGGTTCCCCTAATGAGTTTGCCAGTATAGGTTCAACATCTGCTCTTCTTTGGTTGGCTCGCAGGTAGAAGTGTTTCTTCAAGATTCTTGACTTTACATTATTTTTGGATCATAGTCTATTTGTTCTGAACATAGTTCTTCCAATCTTTCAGGTTTGCTATTTTGGCTGGACCAACAATACCTATCATAGGTGAAGGTAACGAGGAGGCCAATGATAGGTAATTGGTAGCATATTTACTAAAATCATGGTTCTTTTTCCCTGTTCGACCCCAATTATGTAGTTTGTTCCAGAAAGCTTACATTGCTTTTGTCCATATTTTTTGACATTGATACAAAAACTAAAGCATTTGTCAGCACTCATCTGGAAAGTAGGCTGCAATGAGTGATTCTTGGATATTTGGTTATGTGCTTAGGTGCATTAAAGTTGTGTCTAACCATAGTAAGGGTAACACTAGAGCTAGGTCTTACATAGCTAATAAAGATTCTATAAATGAAAAATGATTAATCGAACTCCTCCTGTTCTACATGGGGGTTTGGTATATGTGCAGATCATTAACCACAAACTACTACACTGTTGCATAAGTAGTTTTATATATCCTCAATATCTGTTCTACACACATGCAGTTCTGAGTATCTCACAATGAAAATAGTTACATGCAGTTATCGCAAGATTTGAGATATGAAAAGATTGATGTAATATAGATCGTTCTCAAAACTGAGGACCTGAGGTTATATACTAATGGAACTTCGAGCAGCACTCTTTGCGACTATTTTCCCCCATTCCAATTTATTTTATATCTTTAAAGTATCTTGCTGTGCACGATTTAGTATTTAGGCCTTTCTCCTTGACCACCCTTCTCTTGAAACTGAACATTTATAAGGTTTTATTTATTCTTATCTGTCCGTACTCATTCAAATATTTTCATTCGGTACCTTCTTTAAATAATTCAATTTTGTTAAAATTACTAAAACACATATTTTACTAGATATGTAGAGCAATTGGTTGCGAGTGCAGAGGCTGCGGTATTGGAGGTCATTAGACGGGGGGTGAGTGTTGTGTTTTCTTTATAAATATTCTCTTGGTATTTAAAATAATTAACCATGTTGATATGCCACCATGACTAGGTTGCTCATCCTAACAAGATTGCAGTTGGTGGACATTCATATGGTGCGTTTATGACTGCGAACCTTCTGGCTCATGCTCCCCATCTTTTTTGCTGTGGAATTGCTCGCTCCGGTGCCTATAACAGAACACTGACCCCTTTTGGCTTTCAGGTAGTTGCATATTTAACTGCTGTCTTTCTCTATACTGTGACCATACGAAAGTGATATGTCTTAAATTCCAATGCTTAAAAATGTTCCAACACCACACATTTCTACTCTACCTATCATTTGTTCTGCTTATCTGCGGTCATACTTTATTGTCATAGAACGAGGATAGAACTCTTTGGGAAGCAACCAACACATACGTAGAGATGAGTCCATTTGTATCAGCAAATAAAATAAAGAAGCCAATTTTACTCATTCATGGTGAAGAAGACAACAACCCAGGAACTTTACCCATGCAGGTATGGTATGGAATTTTAACCGTTTGGTTCTGTTTCCTTGAACCGATAAATGATGAAACGATAACCTTATTATTTTCTAGTCCCTTTCTCTTTGCTGAGGTTCAAGCAGTTAATGCCTACAGTTTCTTTTTTAACTTGCTAAGAAACTTATATCGTGGGTTTGCATGCTTTGCAGTCCGATCGATTTTTCAATGCCTTGAAAGGCCATGGAGCATTGTGTCGCCTTGTGGTTCTTCCCTTTGAAAGCCATGGATATTCTGCACGAGAAAGTATCATGCATGTCCTCTGGGAAACTGATCGATGGCTGAACAAATACTGTTCATCTAACCCTTCTGATTCAGGTCAAGATGTGGATAAAAGCAAAGAGGGAGGCAATGAAGCAGGAGATTCCGAAGGGAAAGTTGTTGCTGGTTCTGGAGGTGGTGGCCCAGAGAATTAAAGTCCTGATCATGATGGATTTTACTCTATTCAAAGATCATTGTTGTGGTAAGTGCTTTACATTTAATATCTGAAATAAGTGAACAAACTATTTTAACCTAGAATTATAAAACAGGAAGGAAAGACATGAAAAATAGTTCCTCTTACATATGTCTGCATGGCTTTTGTCTCTCTTAAAAAAAAAAAAAAAAAAAAAAAAAAAAGAAACTCCTGAGACATTCTGCTTTTATTGCGCAGGTGTTCTTGCTGATCTTTTGCGGCCAAGACTGAAGTGGGGAGTTCATTTGTAAAAATAAGAAGCATGGAGTAAGCACAACAACGTGCATGGGGAGATACTGATCCATGCTTCTGAAGTTGTATCATTGAAGGTTAAAATAAAAAGTGGCTTTTGGTAAGAATTTTACATCATATTGAAGAGACACATAGTTGGTAAGTCACGTTCTGGTTGCTATTTATACGATTTATGGAGGCGAAAATTTACATGTAAACAATTTGAAGAATGGCTACCTGAATCTTCAGAAGCAGTTATGTGCTTCGTTTTCGCGTAAAATTAGTTTGCTATTTTGCGAGAATGTATTTCTATCAATAAACGTCTCTTAGCTCTCAGATCTGGTAAATTCCCGAGTTGATAGTACACGAATTAGCACCTAAAACCTGAACAATCGGTTCCCATAAAATGAAAATCATAGGTGTGACCAATTTTTGTTTTGTTTTTGCGATTGCCTTTGCATGAGGAAGACGAAGAGTTGAGAGGGAGAAGGTTGTGTGAACTGAAGGTGTAGTAGTAGTAGACCTAATTTTTTAAGATTTAGAATTAATTTTTTTAAAAAATAAAAAATTGAAAACTTCAACTGACATACCATTTGACCATTTGTCGCAATCCCACTCTTCGGCAACTTCTAACCCACTCTTATGGCAACAACTTCTAACCCAACGAACAAGTCCTTCACAAAGGAAATGCCACGAATAAACCATCACGACAAACCATTCAAATTTCTAGGTTATCATGATTGCAATCGTGTTTCACGGTTCTTCACCAAACCACTCAAAACCACTAAAAAACGACGCAAGTGCTGCATATATCGTTCATCATTTCATAATCAAGGAAGAATTCGACAAACAACTAACATTTCTGGTTCATAAAGTTCACATCTTCTCCCGGCTGAGCTAAGAAATAATTCCATATGGAAAAGAAATTGTATGCATTCACATATATGGATTGATTCACAACCAATGTTCATTTGACCAAATCAAGCACTCCAAAGGTCGAACGCTGGAAGGGATCCACAAATGTCTAGCAAATCATAACAAATACTCTATGCCCTCCATAAAAATCACTGCATTGCAGAATTCCAGGATAGCCTTTTGGCTCTGATGATGCACAAAAGGCTAATAAATCATGAAATAAGGTTTATTATTAAGTCCACCAAAATCTCTCTCATATCTTATTTTTAGAAACTGATGCAAAAGATAAACAGGTCATCATCTCTAATCCAAAGAGCAAAACAAAGAGGTTTTCAAAAAATGATAAACAAACTGGTGAATGTGTTCAACAATATCATGATAGAATGTAAGATCTATTCTTCATCGACAACGACACCGATCTCACCCTTCTCGAGTAGATCATAGAAAGCTCTTACTTTCCTCTGCTCATTCCACTGATGCATTTTCCAAAAGCTACCAGCAAACAAAGCCACTCCCATTCCAATCAATATCTCCTTGACGACACTCGGTCCTTTAAGCGTGACGTGAGCTACCCTTCCAGCAGCCATTTTCTTTTCTAGTTTTAAGACGGTAAGAAAATCTGCCCAAGATATCGAAGGCGAACACTTGTTAGAACAAGGAAACTTGAATACAATATTTGCAAGGGCAAGGGCAAGTTCAAAGAGGACTTTCATCCTTTAAAAAGCAATAACATCCCTCCCTACTTAGGAAACGAAGTGAAGGAAACTAGGCTTCATTTATTGTTATGATCATAATAAATGATTAAACGAAGAAAATGAAAGAATATGCATATGGGCAGTACACAACACAAAAGAAATCAGCCCAAGCCAAAGGCCAAGACAAAAGGCAAAAGCCTTACAGAAAAAGGGCTCCAATGGTTTATAAGAAGAAATAACCATAAAATTTAATGGTTACAAACACCCAAAAGGAAGTGTGACCTCCCTAGAGATCAAACCTCCTCCCAAGTTATATTGAAAGTCGTTCTGTTTCCATCAAGTCAAATGCACTACAAAATAGCCAAAAGGGGTCATCATCTACGAGACACCTTCTCATATTTGAAAGTAATCTATCACAGAAACTCATTGATTTTGGTTCTTATGGGAAATGAAGAAAAAGCAACAACGGATGATGGTTGGCCATCTTAATCAAACTATCTTTATTGATGTTATTATGCATCTCTGGTAATATACTAATCTACCCTCTTTCTTGCAGCTGTGGGCTAAATTTCTCATCCTCCCCTCCTCTGCTGTACTACGTTCCCCATTCCAGTAAAAGGGCTCGGATGGATTGCTGCCTTTTGGCTTATTTACACTAAAGGACACCAAATTTCCATTCAACATCTCCAAACACATGAAATACAATCAAACTAAACACCACACCATCCATCGCAGTCTCTCAAATCTATACCCCAGGAAAATCGAAACTAGGTTTTGCCGAAAAAAGAAAAACAAAAAGCACAGAAAACCAGCCCTTGCATATACCCCAAATCAAATTAAAATCCAGAAAATCCAAAACGAAAAGAGTACAAATCCCCATCTCAACAAATAAGAGACAAAAGAAAACCCATTCATTCAAAGTACGTATAATCAGACCAAATTAAAGCACAAAATCACACACCAAAGATTAAAAAATAAACAAGGTAGAGACAAAAGATCGAAAATCAAAGAGAAGGATGGATCTAGAGAACTCAGAGTTCTTACCAGGGAGATCGAGAAGCAACCGGCTGGCGCCAGATGATAGGAACTGTTATGGTCTTCGGAGTGCGCCTTCGGCTTTTTATCGGTGGAAACTTGAGTTCCAATTTGCGCCTATAAGAGAGAGTAGGGTCCACTTGAACACGTCAACAAGCTTTTATTTAGTATGAAAATATATGAAAAATTAGTTTTTTTTTTTTTTTTTTCAAAAATAACAATATTTTACCATTTTTACCCTTTCATTTAATTTTTTAAAAATTTTGTTAAAAAAAAAAAAAAGGTGTTCATGTATAAAACTAAATTAATAAGATTAAAAAAATAAAAACTACAATTTTATTATAATTTGTGAGTTTTAACGCTTGTTAATTTATGCATCATTTAAAGTATATATTACAAAATATGATATTATATAAAATTAGTAAGTTTATATAAGAGTTTTTGTATTACTTTTTTACTAAAATTAATGGAGAATTGTAATAATTAAACCGAATATAAAAATTGCAACATATTCTTACATACGATCCAATTTAATGAAATGAAATATATCCAAATTTGGTGTATGGTAAAAATAAAAGTTTATTAAAGTAAAAATTGATAAACTTTTAATTTCATATAATTGAACACTTAAAAAATGTCACACAGCTGAAAAGTTAGAATAAAAATGGACTATTTTTAGTAAATAATAAATTAGCTTCAATCCTAATTTTCCAATTCACAAAAACATCCAGATATGAATTCTAAAAACAAACATCCAGATATGAATTCTGGAAACTTGCTTTCTCTCACTGAATATAACGGAGGAATTCATACATTATGAAACTCGAACTCATACTTCGTCCTCGTGAAGAAGCAAATTGGGGATACCTTTATTGACAGGGAATCGGCGGCCCGTCTCCGGGCAAATAAGAGCGCCTTCCTCGAGATGTAGCTCCAAAAGCGCATGGTGGAATCGTTGCAAAAAGTCATGGGAATCGAGCTTCGACGACTCCGCCTCCTCGGGAAGTTCGGCATAGCCCATAGTGCGAGAGGCATCAACAAGGGGCTTCCATTCGATCTTGGAGAACATGTTCTTGAGGAAGTCCGGGTTGAAGTCGACCTGCTTCTCGACAACTTTCTCAACCTCGATTCGGAGAGGGAAGCCATTGACAACGCCCTTGATGTTGGAGGAGAGCATGTTGTGTGTAAGTAGCCTCATCTTTTTCAGCCCTTTCGCTTTCTTTCTTTGGCTCTCTGTTTATTTGTTATCACAGGGTGCAAGCGCCACTCTTGCACAAAATGATCGATACCAAATTCCAAATTCCTGTCTAAAAAAGAGTGTTAACGCACAATCTAATCATTTATGAGAACATTTATTCCATAAAAATTCCATTCGATATCTATAAATCAAACAAATTATCTCAAAACTTGTTTTGACTAACATGTATTTAATGAATCAGTCAAATTTCAACTAGATGGAATATCTCCTTAATATAATCTACAACTACAACCCCGAGCGGCAGTCAAACAGAGGCATGAATGCAAGATGCTAGCGGAATGATCGGCCAGACAGAGGTTAGGGCTGCTTTCTTCCCACCGCGCTCTTCCTTGTGTGTCGGAGATATAAAGCGAGTGCACCAGAAAAGAACGGGAACTGGGTTGATCTATTCTATGGCGAAGCATCTGAAGCATAACTGAACACTCACGCGATCTTTGACGAGAGATAGGAGCATTCGGTGGAACCGGTGAACTAGCCTTAATATATGGATTATAAGAATGTTCAAGTAGCATACTATCTAAACAACTTCCATGAAAATCATCTTGGTTTGACTAATATGTATCTAATGAATCAGTCAAATTTAGAATTTTAACTCGATGGATATCAGACAAAAGGAAAAAGGCCCTACAGAAAAAGGGCTTGAATGGTTTAAAATAAGAAATAACCATCAAATTTTCTAGTTCCAAACACCCAAAAGGAAGTGTGACCTCCCTCATCTTTGAAAGTTATGTATCACAGAAACTCATTGATTTTGGTTCTTATGCTATCTTTTTATTGATATTGTTATGTATCTCTTGTAATATACTAATCTCATCCTCCCCTCCTCTGCTGTATGTTCCCCATTCCAGTAAAACTGCTCTGATGGAGTGCTGCCTTTTGGCTTATTTACACTAAAGGACACCAAATTTCCATTCAACATCTCCAAAACCATGAAATACAATCAAACTAAACACTACACCATCCATCGCAGTCTCTCAAATCCACACCCCAGGAAAATCGAAACTAGGTTTTTCCGAACAAAAAAAAAAAAACAAAAATGCACAGAAAACCAGCCCTTGCACCTACCCGAAATCAAATTCAAATCCAAAAAATCCAAAACGGAAAGAGTACAGATCACCAGTTCAACAAATAAGAGACAAAAGAGAACGCATACATTCAACATACGTACAATCCGACGAAAAAATATCGAAAATCAAAGAAAACGGTGGATCTAGAAAAGAACTCAAAGTTCTTACCGGAGGAGATCGAAGCGATCGGATGGTACAAGATGATAGGAACTTCTTATGGTATTCTGATTGCGGCCGCCACCATCTAGCGGTGGAAACTCGTCTGAATTTGCGCTTCGCGAACTGAGAGGGTTTAGGGTTCAATATTGAGAGAGTGAGGTTCACTTGAAGCAGCCTGTTGGGAGAGAGAGAGTCGAGTTGGCGGCAGGATTTATTTAATATGAAAATATATGAAAAAATAGTTTTTTTTTAATAATAAAAAAAAAAACTTAAAACCATTTTTATTTAGGTGCATTCATTTTCCAATATTTATATAACACAAAATTAATCATAATAAAAATAAAAAATAAAACTATCTTTTTATTATAACAATTGTAAATTTATGCATTAATTTTTTTTTTCAAAATACGATATTATATAAAATTAGTAATTTTATAATGATTTTTTTTTTTTTTTACCAACGTAAAAATCAAAATGTTATTTTATAATTAATGGAAACGGGAAAAAACGATAAAAATTACAATATCTTTTTAGGATTAAGGTTAAGATTGTAACACTTACCTAAGTTTGATGCGTGATAAATGAAAGTTTTTTTTAATTTCATCCCGACCCTTAAATTAAAAAATAAAAATAAAAAAAATTATTTAATACTTTTTATTCCCATAAAACACAATATTCCTAATAGGTCAAAGAAACCGCCAAGCTGAAACAGAAATAATGGGAGTTTCCTTCCAACCAACAATCAAACATTTCTGATTCTTTTCCAAACTGCAGAACTTCCCATAAGCAAACCCCTTAGCTACAAACTTTGCTTGGCTCAAACATGAATCACTCAGCTCCATTTCTTCCATTCTAAACCTTCCAAAGAACTCCCTCCACACCTCTATCTTCACACTCCTCACCACCCGATCGCTACCTTCCGATGCAACGACGTTTTCAATCCCTTCACCACATAACCCTTCGATCTTCCTTCTGCTGTCTTCATCCTCTTCGATGCAAGTTTTCAAGCAGTCGAAGTACGAAGCGGTGAAGAACAAGGATTCGATGAAGCGATTCACGAATGATGATAGGTTATAATTTGCCTCGATCTCGGAAACGACCATTATCGATGGGTTTAGCTTTCGGATTACTCTCATCAGATTCTCCAAGCTAGCAGGCCTTGTGATCATGGTTCTCAACACTAAGGGCGAGTAAATTGCCACCATTTCGTGTTCTTCGGTTTCGAAGAGTTCTTCTTTTAGCTCCATCATATCTGATACCAAGATTGCTTTGAATGAGAAGGGTATGTTTAGGGACTCAGCAACGTTTTCCAACCACTTTCCTACCTGTTCTATCAAGTGGCCTTTGTCTGATACAACAGCAGTGATCTTGAGAAGCTTAATAGGCAGCTCATCCTTCAAATCTTCAAGCGATTTCATAAAAGCCGACCAATGGACTCCACTCCTGATTTCAAGATCTATCAAATGGACTTTGGTGATCAGTTTAACATGTTCAAAGATTGCTTGAACAGCAGTCAGATGCATCACTTGCTGAAAAGGGAGTTTCATGAATCCTCTAAGTGCTTCAAGGCTCATTACCTCATCTACTTTTGGCTCCTTGATTGTTTCCCTTCCTGTTTCTCTGTTGATTCTTTTCCTAAGGGCCTTTGCGAAGTAAAAAACGAGGCGCTGGACGGTATTACCGGAGGGGGATGCAGCCCATTCGCAGCGTTGAAGCAGCCTGCTCGCTCGCTCATATTGCTGGTAGCTTACTTTCTCAGCTGCAGCAAAGAGGACATGAGCAAGCTCAACGTCGTTTCGCTCGTCCACCGATAGACCGGCGAGAGCAAAGTCACAAGGATGCATTGGCATGTAGAACTCATCATGCCCCTCGGGAAAGAAATGGACATATCTCGCTCCAGCTACCCTCAATATCTCTTCAGTTGACAAGCTTTTGTTCTCCTCACTGGCTTCACCGCCTCTTTTCTCAAGATTTGTCCCCTTCATCCTCTTGACTTTGGCGCCATAGCTGTTTAGCAGCTGCAAAGATTCTAAACATGGATTCAAAACTTGTATACTGATAGAATCTGCATTCAGATTATCTGATATCTTTGACTTCTCTTGAATCAATTCCGAAAGCGTAAAATCGTTACCGATACCGAACAGAATTTCGTTAAGAATCAGACAATCTGAATTGGGCTGTGGATAGTCTGTTTCATTTCCAATCTTGAGAATGTCCTGTTGGTAAAAACCAGATTGATCAGGTGAGACAAAGTTGAAGTCTCCTAACTCTCCAAATGGACAATCGTCTTCTTTCCCTCTGAGCTCAGTCTCCTGGTTCTGGTGGATGCCATTAGAGGGGAAGAAAGTTCCTGCAAGTGAGCCATTGAAATCAAATGGTGTGAAGGGAAAAAAATCATCAGCCATTAAAGAGCAGAAGGAAGCTGATGAATGAACCTATGAACAGATTTTTCTAAACAAAACAGTCAAAATTCTGATTTAAACCAAGCTGATGAACAAACCTAAGCTCAATGTCACTGCAGAGATTTCTGTAAACAAATCAGCCAAAAATTATCCCTACGGATTATTTTACTATATTCGATATTCTCAAACAAGTGTTAAGGAAAAAACCAAGAATCAAAGTTTATAAACTACTAAACAAGCCTCTCTGCTTGTCATTTTCTAACAAGACAACCAAAAAATGTTGAAATTTAAGCCATCAAAACAAACAAAGAACAGAGGTCGATTTGTTGTCTCCTTCCCTTTTTTCAGTATGGTTACGAATAATAGAGATACAATAAGACTATGATCTTTCTGTATCGAAAATCACGATCAACATTTTCGATAGTTGCAGAGAAATTTCAGACGGAAAGGAAAAATTGGAATTCAGTTGACTGTAATGATCTAATCAAATCGATGGAATATTCGAAAATTTTGGACAAATTTATCTTTCTTTGATTTGAATGGAGAGATTTACCAAGAAAAGGAAAATTCAAACGACTTCGATCCGTTTGGATTGGGAAGAACTTTTATCCTTCCTGTCGCGAAGCAAGAACTTCAGAAACCAAGCAAAGCTTCTCAAAATCTTGATTAAACCGATCGCGACGATGAGGTAATAGAGAGCCAAACCAGAGAACTCCGCCATAGTTGGATCCATAAGAAGATCCATCATGCTTTCCGTAACCATCGCCAGAGATTCAGCTTCATCTCTCAACCTCCACCACCATATACCTCCAAAGCTCACTGCCATGGCGACTCTTTCACTCCAACTCTCCATCACCGGCGCTCCGAAAACAGTATCGTCAACCACCGGCTTCACCGCCGACTTCGACCAATGAATCATCGCCGTATGACACCCTAGGAAGAACATCATCCGGCACCACAAACTTCTACGCTGCCCTAAGCTCGAGGCGTCGATTGCAATCGCCATTCCCTGGTCAATCGCCAGGGCCATACCGACATGTAACGCACACAGAACAAGCCAAGCCGCGCTCAGGCCGGATGATTTAGTCAGAACAACGGATTTACCGAACAAGTTATCGAGAAGAGCGGCTATGGCGATAAGCGAAATGAGAGCTAAAAGAAGAACTCGGTCGGCAGAGACGACGGAAGCAAAAGAAGTAGGAGGCGTTGAATGAGGGAGAAGAACCTGAAGATACCGAGAACGAACGAGCCTGCAAAACATAATGAATGAAAATGGAAGCGAGAGACTGAGGAGAGTGACTGTGAGGAGATGAAAAAGCTTCTTGAATTGAAAATTGAGATCTCGCAGCCATTGGAACGCCATAGCCAAGCTCTGAATTTGCAGAAGGAATTGGGGATTTGAGAATGTAAATAAGGAGAAGGAAGAAGATGAACGCTGAGTGGCGGGCACGTCCATAGTTTCGAATTGGTTGGCAATGGCAATGTGCGTTATGTTCATATTATTATTTTATTTTATTATATCTTTTAATAATTTATTTATTGAGATTTTAATTCCCATTTTAATCTAATTAATTTGCATTTAATTCACTAAAATAAATAAAATGAATTTAGTCCCTATTAAAATTTAAAAATAAAATACTTTAAATTAATTCTTTTTGTATTTTAATTCCTATTGCAAATTAGAAATGGATTTCAGGATTATTTTGAAGTATTCTACCGAACGTACTTTAAATGACTTGATTACATGACGACGAGAGAGGTTGCCTAAAAGTGAGGTGAAAGAGTATCTTAAAATGATCGTGAGAGGGCTTTGTAGTATTCATGAACGATGATTTGTACACGGCGATCTCAAGCCAGCTAACATTGTAGTATTCCTCTAGTCCTTAACATGAAAAACATCGAGACATAAATACTATATGTAGCAACTCAAACTCACCATGCAGATATTGTCCGCTTTGACCCGTTACGTATCGTCGTCAACCTCACAACTTTAAACTGCGTCTACTAGGGAGAGGTTTCCACACTTTTACAAAGAATACTTCGCCTACTGGTGTTTGACTTTGATACCATTTGTAATAGTCCAAGCCCACCGCTAGCAGATATTGTCCGTTTGACTCATTACGTATTGTCATCAGCTTCACGGTTTTAAAACGAATGTGGAATACTTCGTTCCCTTCACCAACCAATGTGGAATCTCACAATCCACCCCCTTGGAGGCCCAGCGTCTTCGCTAATACACCGTCTCGTGTATGGCTCTGATACCATTTATAACACCTCAATCTCACTGTTAACATATATTATCCTCTTTAAACTTTTCCTTATAGACTTTCTCTCGAGATTTTAATATTATTTCGTCCATCCATTAAATTAAGAAGAGAAAAAGAAGAGTACTCTCCCAAAAGTGTTACCCTTTAGGTATAATATACCACAAACAGAGAGATATAACTCACACTATAGAATGTCTTACTCCTGTCTTTCCACTGTTCGCCGACTCCGATGAAAGTTGAGATGGTTAGTTAATATAGTTATTGAATTAGTTGAACCATCTCTTTGACTTTAGTTAATTCTTCCACCAAATCTCATGTTGTTGTTGACCAGATCTAAAGAAAATCCGACATAATCATGATCATCATGATCATCATGATCATCATCCATTCATTCATCCCTCTCTCTACAACAAATCAAGCTTCCTTTAAACTCAAACCCCAACCACTCGACCATCTAATTTTCACCACCATTGCCAAAAACACAAGAGCTTCTCCATTATAATTAATGGAGCTGTTCAACAAACTCTTCCCCACCATCTCTTCTTATTCTTCCCCTCTCCTTTCTCCTCCTCCTCACCTCCGACCACTCTCCGATGGGCAACGTCACCTCCGTATCCGGCGTCGGCAAAGTCGTCCTCTCTGATGGTTCCATTCACGAATTCAACGAGCCCTTGACAGTGGCCGAGTTGATGCTCGAACACCCACGTCACGTTGTCGTCGAGCTCCGCTCGAGTACCGTCGCTGAAAAACGGCCGACTCCATTGCCAGCCGACCTAAAGCTCGATTTGAAAAAGGTACATTTTAGATTTTTTGAGTTTTTAAGGTTACAATATGTTCAATCATTTATTACATATTGTTAATGTACAAGGTTTATATGATGCTACCTATAAGAGGAGGCAAGCCAATGTCATTGTCGTCGGAGGAAATCCGCCATGTTCTCCTCTGCGCCAACTCAGCTTTACGGTCGCGCTCGCTCCTCCTATCTTCTTCCAAAGTTCTTCCTTGGTTGGCAAGGGCACGCTCGGCAACGACAGGGGCAGTCGGAGTAGATGTTAAAAAGAAAGATCCCACGACGATCGGAGAGGAAATGAGATGGGAAACGGAGATGACGATGGCCGCGGAGGGGAGGCCGGAGTATTTGAGCAGACAATTATCCGGCAAAGCCTGGAAACCAAGCTTGGATACAATTAAAGAGAAGAAATTTGAGAAGAAACTTTCTCATTGGTTGTTCAAATTTTGAAGGCATTTGGAAGAAACCAAGCTTTCATATATGATCCAAATATTTGATAAAAAATAGTTAATATTATAATATTATATAACGTCGAGATCGCGTTAATCTTGTATGTACGGTTCTAATTAGGGGTTTGGGTCGTATGCCTTAGACGAAAGCCCAGGGTCCACGATCCATGTAGACGTAGTTAACCTTGTCGGGTTGGCTTCCTAGAGCAACGTAACCTTCTACTCCTATTAATGGGAGGATAGCGGGCTAGTTCCCCATAGCCTAATTATACTCACTAAAGAATCAGCCCGACAATCCCGTTTCATGTGACTATTAAAAAAATTGGTATATGAATGAACCGAGACTACATTTGAATAAGAAGGATTCTGAAAAATAAGATGAAATACCTACCCGAACGGAAAATACCAACTTCACCGTCATCATCATAACATATCAACCTCCAACAACCATTCTAATTTTTGTTCCTAAGATCTAATCACCAACCAATGAAATCATGAGGTTGTTGGGAGATTATAAACTTACTTCACATTCTATATTTAAACAATATTATAATTTGAGTTTACTTTGTTATATTTACGGAAATGCCGGTGGGAGCCCATGTTTGGTATAAGGCCCATTAATAAGCCCATTAAGAAGCCCATTCACTTGTATCTGCCCCAAAGTAAGTGGGCCTACCAATAATCAAACATTGATAAAACTTCAAAAGAAAATTTTAAAAAATAACAATTTTTTTCCTTTTAATTATAAAGTTTTTGCCAAAGTGGGACAACAAATCTTTGTATACGTAGCACCTCAAGCCACCACTAGCAGATATTGTATGTTTTAGCTCGTTACGTATTGTCATCAGCCTCGTGAGTTTAAAATGTGTCTGTTAGGGAACCCTACACTCTTATAAGGAATGTTTCATTCGTTATCATCTCGAGATGTAAGATCTCGCATTTTTAGACTGTGTTTGTTCGATGGATTAATGAGAGACACACGTGGAGGTGTCGAGGGAATTGAGAGGAAGAAGATGGCGTGTTTGATGAATAGTAAAAGGAGAGGAAGTACAAGTATGAATGATCAACAAAAACAGTTCCTAAAGGAGAAAGTGTATGTCCAAAAATAGGAAGGGCTTCAATAATTGGCAAATCCCCTGATGCCTACCCAACTCATCACCCCTTTATCCCCCATGTGCCCCTTCACTCAAGCTGCCATGTGCATCCCATCATCTACAACGCTTCGTTTATGAGTACATCGTATGTAATCAAATATAAGATACGAGTGTTTGTGGATAATTTGGATCTAAAGGATAAACCCAGAAGGTAGAAGAAAAATGAGCCAAACGTCCAAAAATCCACCTTAGAGTCAGGGTGGTTGAGGCCGAGGTGAGCCTTTAACCTAAGAGGGTGTGCGTCTCAAATGCCCCTTCCCCAGGAAGCTTTCGACCAGCTACGTTCCTGTAACAATCCAAGTCCACCACTAACAGATATTGTCTTTGGGCTTTCTCTTTCGAACTTTCCCACAAGGTTTTTAAACACACGTATGCTAGAAAGAGATTTTCACACCCTTATAAACAATGCTCTGTTTCCCTCTGCAATTGATATGAGATCTCACAATTCACTCTTTTGGGGGTCCAACGTCTTCGTTAGCACTCGTTTCCCTCTCCAATCGATATGGGATCTCACAATTCAACTCTTTAAACCTTATTCGAGAGAGAAGCAAAAAATCCCAAGTCAACTCTCATATAAATTATACGTTGGTTTTGACCTTTGAACGCCAATTTTTTCTCCTTATTAAAACCCTAATTTGCTCCATTTTATGCGAGCATATGAAAATGGTTACTCTCATACTTAGTCAAATTCATGATTAAGTTCAATTAAATTAAAAACAATAATCTAAATATATAATAAAAAATTTAAAATAAACTTTCCCCTAAAACCACCAAATATTTTTATTCAATCTAAACGCCACGTGGTTTCACCGTATTGGCCCACCAAACTTTCCTTACAAGCAAAAGAGTTGACGAAAGCAATAACAGTAACCCATACGTTTCCC